GAGCCACGCGCGCCCCGTCCTCCGCCGTGGTGGGAGATCGTGGCGCCCGGCGTGGTCCTCGGAGCGCAATTAGCACGTGGTTATTTCTTAATTATTATTTTTTCCGCCTTCTTTGTACAGGTAGCTAAAAACCAATGTTATAGTTGAGCCACAACCGTGTTTCACAACCATGCTTAAAATGGATATTTTTGTAGCATAGTCAGGGCCTAAAACAGCCTTGCAAAATTCTGCTCGCCCACGCGCCTGGCGTGAGTAATTTTCTTTTGATGGGTGAGTAAAATATCATTATTTTTTTCATGCTCATCTTGGAATGGGTGGGAGAGTAGATTCTGACATTATTTTTGATTTGCTTAACACTGACACCGCGCTTGGCTCTGTGCAAGATGCAGAGCTACGAGCAGCCCCTGCTCCGAAGAGCTCGCCGTCTGTGGGCACACCTCTCCGCTGCTGAAGTTGAGGAAGGTGCCTCCTTTCCCCGGGGCTGACCTAAACCGACATAAAATGGATGTTTACATCTTCTTTTATTCCTTCTCCCCTGCTTCAGGGGCTCACCCTGACATCCATTTGTGGCTTAATGCCTCTGAGTTCACAGGGACGGGGTTGAAATGCAGGGGAGAAGCGCACGCCGACGGGGATGGACGCGTTTCTTTCCGAGGGAGCGTGTCCCCACATCGCTCCTCTCCCTGCCTCTCGCCACCCCGTGACCTCCCCTCTCGTCTCCAATGAAGAGAAAACCCAAACCAGAATTTGGCGCACAGTCTCCCTCGACATAAGCTGTTTGTGATCCGTTTGAATAATTTTTTCCTTTTTTTGCCTTCGCGCTGTGTTTGGAGCGGTTGCTATGAGTTCCTGCGAGGCGGGGGGAGCGGGGTGGGACGGTGCATGCAGTTTCCATGGACACGGTGTAGTACAGCGAGGCATCCGGAGCGATGCTCGAGATTAATGTCTAACCCTCGTCTGCCTTCGTGCCTTTCTCACCTGGGCAGGGCTGGGATCCCCCGCTGTGTCAAGGGCTCTCTCCGGGGCAGCCCGCACAGCCACGGATTTGTGGCTTTTGATGATTTTTAGGAAGCCCAAAGTCCTGAGACTTGTGGTCCAGGTGCCCAGCGTTGGTTTTCTTGCCGTGCGTGCCCTGCCAGCCTTCACCACATTGCCTCTCCTCAGGTCCTGTGCAGCACTTTTTATGGCTCAGGAAGACTAATGAGATAATTAGTCCTGTTTCAGCCGCTACTGATGGTTGTCACAGCTGCCCTTGAACTTCCAGGGTTCTCTGGTTTTCCCGTATCACATCACGGAAAGCTCCTTTCCCAACACCGACCTCTTGCAGTGATGCTGCCCTGAGCGCAGAAGGCACGACGTGGGGAGGAGAAGCACCCTCCAGCCGTGGAGATGTTCACTTCGATTCCCCCGATAATGGCAGCGAGGAAGTGAAAGTTATAACCTCCACGTTCACATCCTTCCTCGGATGTTCCTGACCTTCCTGTTGATGTTTGTGGGAACGCTTTGATCTCTCCGGGATAGCAGCTAGTCCCGTGAATTACAGTCTCCTGGCTGCAGTTACCCCTTGAGCCGGGTCCTTTCCCAATGCAGGAGCTTGGCGTGGCCTGGGTGAAGGGAAGGACGCGCCACCGAGCAGAGCAGGGCTTGGGGAAGGGCCCCTGCCTCTTACAGAGGGAATTTCTGGGGTAATTTAGGGCCAGTTTTTGGTTTCACGGAGGATCGGGTATAAATGGATGGTTTTGTAGAAGCCTTCAGCACGCCATGTGCTAAAATATTTGGGAAGACCAGCCTCGGTGGGTTGGGGTCACCCCTCACAGCGCGGGAGGCTGGGTGTTGTCCTCCTGCCTGCAGGCAGAGAGAGGTTTCTTTCCGGTGAAAGAATTGAGATTTTTGGTGGAAATTCAAAGAGTGAAAAGCTCTGGCGGAAATCCAGGCTGCGCTGGCTTGCTGGCGCTTGGGGTTTCGATGAAAAATAAAATTAAAAAAAAACACCCAACAACAACAACAACAACAAAAAAAAAGCCCTGAAACTTTCCACGGGAAGCGGGCACTTTTCAGAAAACATTAATTTAGTTGGCGGTCTGACGGCGGTGGCGTTACCGATAAAAACTGGTCGTTACCACCAGTTCCTACCACACTGAGACCTGCGGGTCCCTGGCCAGCACCGTCTGTGGTAGAAATATTGATTCTGATGGTTCACAGTCGCCTTTTCCTAAATGTTTGGGTGATTAACATCCGTCTGTCCGTCCTCCCTTCCTTCTCCAGCCCCTGATTTGGCAGCAAACAGCTCAAGAGTCCCCAGGGGCAGGGGTTTATGGGCTATGGGTGAAACCACTTTGTGTTTATCCTTTGTTTATCTGCGAGGGGGGTCTTCTGGGGCCTGATTTCAACCCCTTTCCCCCGTAGCACCTTTCATCTGAACATCGCTTTGCGATGTTCAGATGAAAGGTGCTACGGGGGAAAGGGGTTGAAATCACCAATTATTTATCCCCTGTGCACACTCCGGACACTGGCCGGGCTCCCTCCCCACCACCTGCTCCAGGCTGGGGATGGTGCTGAGGTTTGATGGTCCAACGTAGCAAAAGGACCATCCTCTCCTCCCTAAAATTAGCAGTGATTTAGTCTGATTCACGCTGGCAATTCCTGCGTGCCTTCGTTTCAGGGGACTGGCGGAGAGTGGGAGGGGGAGCTCTATGTTTTAAACTCCAGTTCCCCGCAGACCTCATTGAGCTCTATTCCCCCCCTGCCTGCGAGGTTTGTTTGCAACTCTCCTGTGCATCCAGAGGAGAATTAACTGCTTTGGTGTGTGGCCCTGGGTTTGCACATGGAAAAGCCAAGTAAATATATGACATTGCTGGGGAAACTTCAGAGAAAATTAGCCACAGCTTCTCCCACCTTCCCCTCCCTGGGGTTCCTGAGCATCCCCGAGTAGAAGCTTGCAGGATTTTCTCCACCCACACTTTTTTTCCTACTTTAAGCTCTTCCCACCCCCTCCCTGCAGTGCTTCGCCCTCCTCCCTCCCAGCTGAACCCCACTGCTTTCCCAAGCGACCTCCCCGCGGGGGGGGG